ATAAGTGATTTTTTTTCTTAAAATAAGTGCAATGGAACAAGACAATTTACATTTAAAATACGAAAACGCAATTGCATTGTCTTATTTCCCAAAATACTCATTCCATTGGCAAATCATCGCATTTACCTACTCTAATTAAATGTAAATATACTTAATTTAAGAAGTTTTTACCTATTTCTAGATCATTTTTGCAGTGTATTTTTGCTCTTAAAATAAAATAATTAGATATTATGCACTTGAAATAAGACAATGCAATATTTTTTCTTATTTTAAATGTAAATTGTCTTGTTCCATTGGCAAATTGTCTCACTTACATCCTTAATTCAAGAAAAATGCACTTATTTTAAGAAAAAAAGACTTATGTTGTGTTCTCCACTTTCTTAGTTCCTGCACATATCTGATCCACTTCTTAGACAGACCTGTGAAGAAGCAGTTGCAATGTCATTATGTGCTTCTGGAGGTTCAGGTCTGAAACCATTACTTCAACCCAGACGCTCAAAAAAAAAAAAAGGGAGTGATCAACAGTTTAAATCAGTGTTCATCTTTCTTTCAGGGTCATCCTTCTACCCCAAACGTCCTGGAAAACATGCAATTTTCTCATTTAAACAGGTTGGTCTAAACCACTTTTGCACCTGTTATCAATACAAGCATTATTTCTAAGCTATTCTCCAAAAAAACATGTGTTTTTTTTTTAACTAGTTGTGCGCACCTAACCTCAAATTGTTAAAGATCAGGCCCTGCGATTAGCAAAGACCAACCAAGCTTCTGTAAAGAAGGAATTGCAAACAGGAAGCAGTCTGAACATGCAGTGAGGCGGAAGCGAGTGAAAGCTCAGGTGTGAATGCTCACTGATGAATTATTTCTTTCAGCTCACCTAAAACCTTTTATCCTCAGAGGGAACAGCTGCCACCCCTGATTGGACATTGTTCCGCTGAAAGTTCAGCATCAGATAACCTGGGAAATGTATCAGTAGATCCGTTTTGCAAAAAAACTCTGATCTTTACCTGAACTGAAACTCTATTCTCTATGTTCAGCTCTGACTGCAACAATGGCTCATCCCTCAGGAGTCTTTCCTTTATCTAAAGATTTAAAATTCCTCAACCACGTCTGCCAAAAGCAAATAAAATAACTCTGATTTACAGCTTCAACCTGCAGCCGAGGTGATGAAGCAGGTTCTCCTTTAAAAAACCCAACATCAAGTAGAAAAAGTGGTCTAATAAATGAAAAGTGGGAGTGCCACACTGGAAAAACTTCTTAAATTTAGTCTATTTACTCTTAATTTGAGTAGGTTAATGAGATAGGTTGCCAATGGAATGAGTATTTTTACTCTTAAAATAAGATAATTAGATAATATGTGCTTGAAATAAGACAATGCTATTGCGCTTTCTTATTTTAAATCTAAATTGTCTTGTTCTATTGGCAAAATGTCTCTTTTATCTCCTCAATTCAAATACAAATGCACTTATTTTAAGAAAAAAATGCTTATCTAGATTTTTCCAATGCGTGATGAGAAGCTGCAGGATTAACACTGCAAAAACGACCTCAAAATTAGTAAAAATGTCTTAAATTAAGAGTATTTACCCTTAATTTGAGCAGGTAAATAAGATGGTTTGCAAATGGAATGCATATTTTTACTCTTAAAATAAGATAATTAGATAATATGTGCTTGAAATAAGACAATGCTATTGCGCTTTCTTATTTTAAATCTAAATTGTCTTGTTTCATTAGCAAGATGTCTCTTTTATCTCCTCAATTCAAGAACAAATGCACCTATTTTAAGAAAAAT